GGGGGAGGGGGCGGTGACATACGCATGACGTGACTGTTGATCGTGATTTCTGTAATTTAAAAGTTTTTCTTTTCCCCCTGTGTTTAAGCCCCTTATGTAGACATGAATGACGATTTATCGGAGAAATTAAGCTTGATTAAGAAGGCGTGACAATTTGATTGCGGCAAAGCAGATTCCTGGCTCAAAGAGAGGCTCCTTGGAACAGGAAAGTTCCTCCTTCCAGAAGTTTCCGGCAAGTCGCCGTCCCCGAAATGCGGCTCCCGCTGGCTTCCCCGCTGGGCCCCTGCGGTGACAGGACCGAGTTGTCTCCAAGAGTCTCCGCTGCTGTCCTCTTAGTGTGATTGATGAGACTCATTTAGTCAATTAATGAGTAACCCCCTGTTGATTAGCATCAAACTGCAAGCTTGTAGTGGCTCAGGTTACACGTCCGTCAAGGAAATCGCTTTAACGAGGCCCCCCCCACCCGCCGCCACGCTGGCGTTCTGTCTGTCTTACTGTGAAAGCTGGCTTGCTTCCGATAGCCCCGTGCCACCCCCCCCTCACCACCTCACTCACACAAACAGCATTGAGAGAGCAGGAGTGAAACCCATCACGATTGGTCAGAGGCAAACAGTCTCTGCCGACACAGCCAATGAAACGGCAGGTCTGATCTTGCGGTTAAACGGGAGCCCGACCGCGCCATGGGGACGCAAAAGACAGGGCGGTGTACCTGCGCAATATGTCCATGGTTGGCATGATCACATCGTCTAAGTACTGGCTAAACCCAACATCATTCTGCCACCTATCGCTGCTAGAGCATCCTCCCAGCCAGTGGCTGGTGATAAAGGCAATGTATGGTGCTTGGACCGGACAAGAGTCGGCCGCGACGAGGCAACCGGCATCGGTCGATCGTTAAGCACTCACTGTTTTACAAATTACTGCCACCTGGGTTGCGGTCCTCATCGTTTATGGTCAATTCGCCAGCAAATATTTACGGCGTGTATTACAGGGCGGCTCGCGTAAAAGGGTATTTACACCACACCGCTGGTCATTAATGTGACCGTGTTTTTCACAGAGGTATGATGAATGCGGTTTCACGCCGCCGGAAAGCTCAATTTATAAGAAAAGCCACAAAAGAATCCCGCTTCCCCTCTTCAGACCCGTTTACAGTCTGGCTTGTGAAAACCTCTATTCAGTGTTACTTTCCAATTGGGGCTTAATCTTCCCCCTCATCTTCTGCTTTCTCATCACTTCTCTGTTGTTCATTGAGGCCAGGCACCCTTCTTGAGACACTAACCCCGAAAACCCTAACAAATGAGATGCTGCACATCCACATTGGTGCCAGCCAGCTTCTATATCGGTCCTGATGGACACTGGGATGGTGTACGGGACAGCTACCGAAACTCTATGCATCAGTTCTGCGTAAATACACGTATGCATCCGTATCGCAATGCCACCGGGACACTGGGAATCAGAGACGTCAATAATCACCCATAATGCACCCTCAATGTGTTGTGACGCCATTGCGTTGCCGCAGAAAGACGCGGGCGAACCGAATTTCGAACCTACCCTCCTTCTGCAGCACTCACAACAAACGTGGCCGGTGTGATCCCTTGAAAATACTCAAAGTCATCAGCCTTAAATGACCGCAAACGGCCACTTCCATTTATAAGTAGCCAACTCTAGATAAATACCACAAAACAGCAGCAAACAAACAGGAAACGGTGTTTCCCAGAGGCCCGGCGGCTTGTTAAGCCTTTATTAAGGGGGTGCCATTCAAAAAGGCTCATTGGCACGCAGATCATCATCCAAGTCAATATAGCCAGCGAGGCCAGCAATCAGGAACATTAGCATATGCAAAAGAGCGGTGCGCAAAACACGGCCCAGGGTACTACTTCCAGTGTAAACAAAGGCTGCGATTGGCCGAGGCCCCATCACGCAGACAGGCACCCTGCTTTTCGCTCCCGCTTCCCTTTATCATAATCATTATTATAATTACAATCGTTATCTCTCCTAACAAGGTTTATTTGGATCAACACCTATTCTAATCTTCTCATTCAAATCTTAATGCCATTCAAATCTTGCTGTGACACACAGCAAATTAGACCTGGCTATTGTCCCTGAACAATGGCAACCCCAGAAAGACGGCCACGGACGCGGCTCTGGGGAGAGACGGGCGGCGGCAGATAGGGCCAGACTGGTCTGGGCCGGACCGCCCTTCCTCCCCCTTGCCTGCTGTTGTGTGTGTGGGGGGGGGGTGTTTACACTCACCACAGACGCAGAGGCCCTGTGGTGGCTGGGGCCTCCCCAGCCCGCTAACCAGTGCTCTGCCAGAGGGCCGTGTGTCTGCGGCTGGCTCTCAGAAAGCCAAACAGCTCTCCCCTGGCCAATCGTCTCACCACAGAAGACCCCCCCAGCAGATAAACCTCTGAATATAACCAATCCGCTCCAGGGATGGACCTCCAGCAGATGCTGTTTGGTGAGATGGTTCCCTCAGACAGCTAGGAGCACCCTCTAGCACAAGACAGAGGTGACACGGTGGCGCTACCGATTCCAGGTCGCCACGAGGCATGGAGCATGTTCCCCGTTCCTGATCCTCCTGGATCCAGCCCAGTGGCTGGGTGAAACTGGAACTGGCAGGGATACGTCTTACATACTAGGTCGGATCTATGGCGGACGCCACACGGTATTTATCGGTGCCAATGGGCTCAAGTAAGAGGCTGTCTGGAGGTGAAGCGGGTCCAAGTCTCGGACGCGTGCGGGTCGGAATGGCAAATTCGGCCCCGATGGAGCCGTCGGCCTCATTCTGCTTTAACGGCGTCAGTAAAAGGAGAGAGTGAGAGATGCGGATGCGGTTTGGCTCGGCTCCTCCGGGACCAGCAAGGTTAAGCCAGATATCCGAGGAATGAGATACATCATGGAGTGTGACGGAGGGAAGGCAACAGGACAAGGATCGCTCGCCCATTACGGCAGGCCGTCTCCCCTCCCAGCGGAGCCCACCCCTGGTGGGGTCTGGCCCACAGACAGCCTGCTCCCCCAGGGCCGCCGGGATGTAGTCGAGAGGCGCCGGAGGGAGGCGGCGGCAGTGGGGGCATTGGGGGGGGTTATTACCAAAACCCCTCTTGCGAATTAGGCCTCATGAATCATTTACGACCATTTGTATGAGTCGCATTACTTTAAATAAAATAAAACAACCCCTCCCCACCCCACCCCCCACAAGAAAACACCCAGTAATTAGCATAAATTACAGTAATAGGGGAGGAATGTCAATATTGGCTGGGAGAAATGAAGCATTTTCATTTCAGCTGAAGCAAAGTCTGATGGAATCTGGCACCTCCTCTGCGGGCCGGCATGCGCCAGATCAGGGCCTCGGTGGGGCCACGGTATTTACCGAGCCCGCATCGAAGCCCAGAGCCCCAGCAATGCGTCACTCATTGGTCACCCGTTCACGGTCCAGATATTTTGATTTAACTGCCTCATGTTGGGGGGGGGGAGGGGCTGCCAAGCCACATGTACCGCGATCTAATTCACGAGCGACGTGATCAGGAGGGACAGCTCCTGGTGGCGTCATTTCGGAGGGGTGCGCTTGCAAAAACGGCCCATCCATCAGTGTTTACGAACCCCCCCTCCCCTACCCGGCTGTGTGTCGTAGCCCGCTGCTCAGGTCAATGGTGACGTCGACTGCAGGTTGGCTACTTGGCGGAAGCCGCGCTCATTCAGCTATGGTTTTGTTTATTATTTTGATGATTATTGATTTCATTGCCAATCACAAACACAGCCTGGCTTCAGCAGGTACAGACTGCATTGTTGTTAATTTTCTCAGCAGAAGAAGTTAGTGCTGGTGAATTCTGCCCACTGCCACGGGTCTGCTGCCCCGTGTGGCACTTACAGGGTGCCTCATAGCCACCCTGGGAACTCAAACCGCACCCCCCCCACAGTGTTGGCGACGACGGCCACTTGATCTGGAAATGCCACGCCTGGGCACTCGCTCTGCGTAAGAGATCATGCCTCCTCGGGCCGTCCGTGTACGCAACGGCGTGGGCAAAATGGGTGGGGTCAGTCTCTCAGGGAAATGTACCTTGACAGGTGCTGGTGAACACAGAGATCACAGTGTCTTGTGCCCCCCCCCCCCCCGATCTGAAGTCCCTCAACGCCACCATCACAGGGCTGTTTCTCTTATCGATCCATCCTGCTGCTAAGCTGCCTTTGGGAGTTTCTGGGGAGACGACAATGTTCTGGCCCATTGTCCATGGAGAGGAACGTGCCCCCCACCCCCCTACAGCACTTCCCCTTCTTGATTAGTGACTGTGATTCCTCTGTCTATCACCATCACCATCAGGATGCGGGGAGGATGGGGGGCACAGGTGCTTATGTAGAAGTCATACCAACGCAAATGAGGCCTCCCTGAAACATAAGTGTGGCCTGCCACTCGGAGCAGATGCCTAATCGGCTCCTAACCCATTACTCTTTTGGCACCCACAGCCAAAAAATGCCGTCAATAAATCTTAAGTCTGAGTAAACAAACAAAAACGGGACTATCGGCTTGAACTGAGGCCTACGTGAAGAGCAGCGAACATATGGAGTGTTTCCTTAACTCAATAAATGACCACAGAGGCTATACGGCAATTAATAGCTCTTATGTTCAGTTAATAATGACTGTGGCGCTTCCAGAAAAAATAGCGCTTTTGGCCGACATACAAAAAAAGGCGCATTAATCAGTGAGACTCAACACACGAGACAGCGCTGTTCTCAGCCGGCTGCAAACATGCCGCGCCGCTACACTGCACCTCGTCAGCCTGCCAGGAGACCGGGAGCAGCACCAGAAAGTTCCACAGGGCAGTCTGAGGGAGGGGGTGGAGGAGTGGTGGGCTGTTCTCCAGACGGATATTCCTGACTGACCGTGCGGACATAGCGGGGCTGCTGGGAAATGAGGAGACCTTTTTGTCTGGGCCCTAGAGTGAATGAATCTGACCCAGACAGGACGTTCCGGGTCTGCAGAGCACCATTCAAATAAAGGATATGGTCATCTTCTGCACAAACTTATCCTGGGCATCTTCTGTCTTGGGGAAGTTCTTGATGTCGTTCTCCAGACGCTCGATGTGACGTTCCATGGTGTCCAGACTCGCCTTCAGGGTCTGTGCCGAAACTGTTGGGGGGAGACAGAGAAGAATCACATGAAGAAACTGGCCCAACAGGACCTATGGTGTTATTACTGCATAAACGACCACAGAGACTGGCCTATGTGAGCATAAGGTAGTCAGGTTCCTCAGTCTCTTCAGGCTATCCAATCACAGCGCTCCGTGAAGGTGCTCTGACTGTGGCACCCCCAGAGCCCATGGACAGCGTGCTCCTAACTCACTCCACCTGAATCCTCCACCCAGGCCGTACGGCGTCTTCAGCGTAAGACCCGCAAGCTCGGCGTAACATGGGACCTATAGCCCAGGACCAGTGGCAGTGCCTCTAAACCATGTGACCCACCCCCGTCTGAGCGTGACAGGAAGGGAGGGAGACACAAGGAAAGGACAGACGGCCCCACACTGCTTATAAAGGGTGTCCAGGCATGCCCCGCCCCAGCAGCGGAACTATAATGCCAACATAAACAGGGTTCTCTCCCCGTGCAAGCCTCGCAAACCCAGGAAACAGGTGCCTTGGGCGGGACTGTGGGGGAGGAGGGTTGGTAGATGGGGGGGAAACCACAGCTTCCCGTCCTGATTCCCAGGATCAAGGAGGATAAAAAGGCTTTCTGGAGCAGAGTGTGGCGATGAGGACAGGGTGCTCCTTTAGCGCCCAGGGGGTGGGGGGGTGGGGGGGGGTGTCGCCACCTGTGATGCAGCTTACAGAGGATGTGCGCTCAGAGTGCATGGGAAGGAGCTGGCGCAACTGCTCAGGACACAAACCTGAAATGTTACAGGCGGGTACCGAACGGAGCCCACAGAGCCCACACCACAAGCCACGCGGTCGGGCTTCAGCAGAACACTGTCCTGCAAACAGGCAGCAAACCCCACATCCACCGGCTTACCCGCCTCCTTAGCCAATTACGCCCGTTCTGCTAGAGACTGGCTTCATTTCAATAATTACAAAACGGCTCGAGACATCTCCGGGTCGTCTAATAGGGGCAGTAGAATATAGCGGCACAATGGAGACGCATTTTAACCATTTTAAGGGCGTGGGGATTTCCAAGCAAAAAAGCCTCTTCGTTTCCCGCTGTCGGTAGGTACCTGGCAAATATGTCATAAAACCCAAACGTCAGCAGGAGGAGGAGGAGTGGGTACTCAGGAAGAGCATATCCTGTCCCTGTCCATCTTTCCTCTCCATGCTTGGATTTCTAGGATGAGGCAAATTAAACTAATGACTCCTGTCGGTGAGGGGCCGCTCGCACAATTTAACGGCGCACACCAGTCACCTGCTGGCTGAAGCACGTGGCTAAAGCGTGGAGGGCCTTATTGACCTTCCTCTAACAAGGACAAGGGGTACAATCTCCATCTTAATGGCAGCCTGGGTGCAGGGAGGGAGGAAAGATGCATTCAACGGTGCTGATGGCTGTGATGATCTCAAATGAGGACAGTCATGCTAATGCTAATGCTAGTGCTAATGCACAGATTCGCACCGCAGCCCTGCTGGGCTATTAAACCGGTTCTCCTTAAGGACAGCGGGCTGGAAGCCAGGCTGTAGAACTCGGCTTGGTTTCCTTCCAGAACAAACCGGTGTAATATTTTTATGTATGCGAGACAGACATCATAAAAACGAACGGGCTCGTGACACGGAATCGAGATGGTAGGTGTTAACGGGAAGACGGCTATGCCGCACCCAGTCGCTCGTGCGGCAGAGCCGCATTTAATTTAAATTTATGGCTGGGGGGGATGTCGATATGTCCCCGCCTCTGGCAATGTCCAAAAAGGCTGTGGAGCCGGGGGGGGGGGGGGATTTATTGGAACATGACTGGCGACATCTCACGGTGGGCTGAGTTTAAAACGAGCACAGGAGCACGGAGGAATGCGGTCAGAGAGGACAGACAGGCTGCAGAACCTTCCGGAACCTCCACTCCTGTAGCAGGCCTCTGCACGCTCACACACTCACACTGTACATGCGTGTGCTCATCTGCATGTCTGCGTGTGTGTGGTATTTGTATGTGCGGGCCGTGGGATACTGCGGGGCAGGCGGTTACCAAATTAGGATTCAGATTTATAGTAATAACCTTCTCTCTCCCCCAGCCACATTTATTTTACATGACATAATTAAGAAGTGTTTGCATGATTCAGAGCCTTGCCTAGGTGTTTGATAAATTAAGACTTCATCACGCACAGAAAGGGGGGAAACAGGAAAGGAAAAAAGGGGCCAGAGTTACAGGCAGCAGTGGCCGTCATTAGGGGAGGTTCATTAGCTCGCGCGTAGTTCGGCTTGCCGTGGCCGTCTCCAACAAATGACCGCCGTTTGGCGGAAGGAGCCGGAAGCCACACGGCCCCATTCTTATAATCGGCTGTAAAACAAGGTCAGGCTCCAGAAAGTCTAATCGCTAAGGCCAGCGGCATGTTACAGACACAGACCAACAGAATTTAAGCTGCAGTCCCACTACAAAACATCACCGGGCACTCAAACACCAAGGACGATCCCACCCAATGTGGGACGTTTACCCAGGATGCCAGAGAATGGACGGCATGTTGGTGAATGGGGAGTCCACCCTTACAAAAACATCCCCCTGAGCACCGGCGCCGCCCTGGCTGGGACCTCATGTATTTCACTTTCATGTTGATACCTCCAGCTTCCTGACCCCCTCCCCCCTTCGCCCCTGGCCTGAACCAGCTGCCCATGTTAAAAAAAATGATTGTATCAATACCTGAAAAACATACAGTTTGTCATCAAAATGTATAGCAGCCTGTACAAAGAGTCTGAGATTGGAGGGCACTGGATTGTAAGATCGATGCACGATCAATAAAGTAAAAACAAAAGTATCCGCCACAGATAAAAACAGGGAACAAAAATGAGAATTTCTTACCTCCCATATTTCAAAATAATTATCTAAACTCGTTCTCTCTGGTCTAAGTAAGGTATTTTATTCCGTGGCAACACCAGAAAATATAAACATAAAAAATACTTTGACATTCAGACGCCAAAAAAGTTTTGAGAAGCAGAAAACACATCGTTTATTGCTGTACTTCATTGCGCCTTTGGGCTTAAATCAAGCTGACAGTCAGTTTTATATGGTTCGGAAATGGAGAAATTTCCAGCGCTGTAGTGATTCCCTCTGTCTATCGGCTTATACGTTCATGTCTCCAACTGAAGTGTTTCAATCGGCAGGTTGCCTGCGACACTCCTGCTGTACGTGCTGCAGTTCACGGGCTGGCGTGTAGCATGTCACGTGCTGCAGTTCACGGGCTGGCGTGTAGCATGTCACGTGCTGCAGTTCACGGGCTGGCGTGTAGCATGTCACGTGCAGCAGTGATTCTTTGCATGTGGGCTTTATGTGTTAGGTGCATGCCTCTGCACACAGGTTCTGGAGAGCCGGAACATAGATGTATGAATATGATTGTTTTTCGGAGAGGTGCTTTTGGACAACAGCTATACAAACATTCCATTTTTAAAATTGTACTCACTGTATGTGGTTATGCTAAACTGTCTTTTGGGGACAGATTTTGTGCCCAGAAAGCTTCTGCTTCTGAGCTACAGGGATCTCAGGTTTGGGACAGTTAATTACAGTAATTCCTAGTTTAGCAACACATAATGAGTGAGAGATTAAGTCCCGGCTTTGGCGAATGCACCCTCGATCAACTGGAAAACGAGGGGATTCATGGAAGACCACCTATTCATTCCTGCGAATAGCAACAGCCTGGACACCAGGCAAGCCCAAAGGCAGGCCTGGTCGCCAGGCGACACCAAGGGCAGGCCATGTCATCAGGCAACACCAACAGCAGGCCTGGTCACCAGGTGACACCAAAGGCAGGCCTGGTCGCCAGGCGACACCAAAGGCAGGCCTGGTCGCCAGGCTACACCAAAGGCAGGCCTGGTCCATAAGACCGAGTTCAAACTGCTAGGCCTGATCGGCCCAGCTCAAATGACCAAGTCCATACAGCATATTCATCTGTTTTCACCAGCTGTGACACCAAAACGAAAGATGAGATGATTGAGATACTTCAAGTGAGCAGCTGCTTAACAAATGAGGTCATTTACATGTGCACACATGCAAAAAATGCATTTGAATGCAAAAAAAAAACCCAAATATGCAAATGTAATGTGCTGGGCAGCCGGCCGACCGATCATCTCCTCTCTTTAGATGACTGACTTGCAATTCCATTTATCGCACATGCAAGCAACAGGAGCGCAAGAAAAAGTGTGCAAAAAAATAAATGAAAGTTCTCTCTTTTGTCACAAAAATTCACATTCAATAGAAATACGGTGGTGAATTAACAAACACTCCTCACCCGCTGTTTAAAAATAGTATTATCAGTTGAAAACAGAGAACAAACAGCAAATAGTTTGTGTGCAATTCAATTAATTTCAATCAGAATGTGGAGAGAAAATGAATAAATCCTGACTATAAACAGTATTGGGCTGTAATTATAATTCACCATCAACGATGCGCTAATCAGATGGGAAAAAAAATATATAAAATAAATCTATTTACTTTCACTCCATTTGATTTTTTTGTGTTCCTCTAAAAATACCCCTCTTGGAAAAACACTGTAATTAGAAAAACGATGTAATTAAAGCCGGCAACATAATTTACCACATTTTTTAGGATTTATCAATCAAAACCTTAAGGATAATATATTCACATAAAGAACGACCCATCAAGGTGAAACATGTTGTTTCAATCCGACTTGATGAAAATAAATCTCAATCATTTATCAAGCGCTAAGGTCCCATTAATGACAGTGTGGGATATGCTTGCAGCTCTGACGATATGCTTGCAGCTCTGACCTAATTTTTACGGACATGGCAACATATTGTATATAAAAATAAAATAAAACAAAATGGAAAATGTATCAGGATGCAGGCTGAACCAAATGGAAATTAAACACAAGGACTTTTATTGCTATTTACTTGACACTTGCAATTACACCCAAACTTCGTTCACTCCCCCAGGCATAATTTTAGCTTTATTCAGTCTGGCTCTTTCATCACAGCACTCCCCCTGTGCTCCCCCCCACC